TTCGAAGAAAGGCTTGATGAGATGTGGAACGTAACCTGCCCTGAATCAGCCTAAGGAAAGAATCGACAGTCCGTGGTGGTAGCTATATCTTTAACTTTCCCAAACACTGCCCCCCTCCCATCTTTATTATTAACCATATCATCCCATTTACTTCGACTACCTTCACCTCACCTGCCTAACTCCAGCTCCCCACACCCTCCTCCCAGTACTAGCTTACTTCTCTTTTCTCGTCTTAAACTATTTTCGCATGTCTATGGGTTCTCTACTGTTTTCTGGAGGGGTACTCGGATCACATGGTTAGCCTGTGACCGATCAGCTGGTGCTGCTTTCATCGATAGCAAACCGGATGGGCGTTCCTGCTCCGCTTCCGTACCCCTACCCACCAAGGACCGATCAGCTCACTGTTGAAGCGTTACGAGACACACGTGGCCCGTAGACGCAAAAACCTAGACAACCATACTGGCTCAAGCCGCAAGTCTTGTGAACTGTCCTGTCCCTTTCGGTCGCCCCTGTAGGTGTATACCATTGAAGATGAATCCTTTTATCTTATTGTTGCAGCATCGGGAGATCCTTGGAGCTCATGAGTGCAAGAAACTAAACCACTTGGCAAGCTGACGTCACCGTCCTCGGCACGGAACTGAACCGGAGTGAAATTTTCACGGTGCATCAAAACACGAACAGTTACACAAATTTTCGTGGAAAACACCTTTAGTGATCTTTGGCGTGGTTCTCAGTTATTTTCTCGAACTAATTTATAGATTTTGCTGTTGGCGCCGACGCCTTGTTTTAGTGCCCTGATATCCACGTCTCTGGGGTTCCGTGGTTAGGGTGGTCACACTACCCTCAATCACTGCCTTCGTTAATTCAGTCAAAGTCCGATGGGAGATCAGCAACAATTGACTCACACTGGCCCATTTAATGTGCTGCCGTAAGTCGATAATTGGAGAAGACCCTTACTTTTCTTCTATAGAAATCCTCGTCCCTCAGATCACTCCATGATGGTAGGTCACGCGTTTATTGTGATGTAATCTAATGTATTTTAGGCAACGCCATTTTATGTAAGTTGCTAAGAGCACAGAGGATGATGTTTTCTTCTCGTCCTTTGCGCAGATTTATATGAAGTCGTCGGCGCCCTTTGGTCCGAACTGTCCTAGGACCGTAAGATAATTTTATCGTTAATGTTGACTGCATTTTTTGAAAATTAATTACTACTAACTTTTTCTTTCTTGGCGTTTTCTTACAGTCAAATCAAACAGCTCTTCAAGGTACTCACCCTTTTGCTATTAATGGACCCATTGCAGACCCTCTTGCTATTTCGCCTGCACACGTAATGCAGATCCAGGATTACCCGTACTACTTGCCCTATTATATCCGTCCTAGTGTTCAGCCACCATACATATGTAGGTTCCATAATGCCCCCGAGCCTACTTTGCCTGGGGGATTTCCGGCTGCTCCTCACCACGTGGCCATGCCATCACAGCACCCACCTCAGCTGAGCTACCAAATGGGTGCACAGCCTGTCCAAACTCCGCCCATGCATCAGCAA